ACTTTGTGCTGTCCCGCCCTGCCCTGCCCTGCCCCGCCCTGAAAGATACAAGTTGACAGAAGAAACAGAGTTAGAGAATAGAGGAGACAGAAAATATATAGAACTTAAAGAAGAAAATAGAGAGGAAACGTGATCATAAATTTACTTTCACAAAGAAATTTGAAATGGAAGGAGGAAGAGCCTTTCAACAGTTCCTTTTGTAGATATAAATTCAAAGTATCTGACAAAGAGTTTTGATGAGAAGTATGAAATAATAAGTTTAGTACTGAAAGAGGTACAAAACTTACCAAGAATTGATGATTGGTAAAATAGATTGGTTAAGATTTCTAAGTACAAAGGACTCCAACAACATCTGGTTTAGATACGAAACAATTTTCCTTAAATATTTATAAGGTGACAAATATTAGAATTTTATCCCTCTGCAAGTAGAACATCAAAATGACAGATAATAAGCTACTTAGCTTCTCTTGAATTTAGAGTAAAGTTTCCAGTCTTAGACATATATTTATGAAAATAAGAAAGTTAAAAAAACTCTAATCCTAAGGTTTGAAGTTAACGCCTCAGCACTAAACATAGCAAATAAATTTTAAAGGCAGCTCCAATTCATACAATTGACATTACGAGAAATAAATAACATTGGGCATGAAACACAAAAGATCACAAACAGTCACCTCCAAGACGTATACCAAGGTTGACTGTACCTGTATTTGAAATATTTAAGCATTTGGAAAATCTTGTGTATACAATAACTTGGATTTAAATAAAGTTTGAAATCACTGAAGACGTTTCTTGATATTGTCAATGAAGAGACAACAATCGAACACATTTAAAGCAACAGAGTCTGTGATCAAATTTGTACAGTAACCAGTATGCAACAGTAAATAGTTCAGTTCTGACAAAAATGTAAGAAATAAAAAGAATTAAATAATAAAAACAAAACTGAAGCTAAAGTCTTGATGATTAATAGCATTCTCATGTTGAGAAAAAGAGAGGTGAGCTAGATGATGTGCCGGAGATCATCACAAACACAATGAAAATCTCCCACTTAATCAAAAACTGAAAAAGAAACCATTGAATGGTTTCAAAACATTTCTCTGAAATTATACTGTGTAGTAACAATTAGCATATTTGGCAAGTCAGAAATTAGTTATCAGATATGATTTCACAAACATTGGTATTTTTTTTATTTCAATGAAGTCCAATTGGGTTATCTTTAACATAACTTTTCCATGATTTATGTTCGTTTTTAACATTTAACATACATAAAACCAACTTATGGTAAACTTATGTGTACCTTTGACAGTTGTATTGAGTAATAGGTATTTACATTTTCTAACATAAGAGTTAAGACGAGATCAACGTGCAAAGGCTTCTTCAGGTATACTTCCTTGTCTGTGGTATTCTGCGAATGCAAACAAAGCCTGCTCCAAATTCCAGTTTGATTCTAATAAGCATCTGAAATAATGCATAAACAGGTAAAAAACACAATAAAACAAATAATTGGCCAACTAATGTCGGTAAACAAAAGAAATACTAACTTTTCTGACCATATGAGGTTCATACCAGTAGTTCTGACAACATGTTCAACCATTTGACGTTTGGCTTCTAAATCTTGATTTACAATACCCACTGGTGATACAGGCACAGGCACCAGTGGAACAACAGGTGCTGATACTAATGGTGCTGGAGCAACTGGTACAAGGCTGGTCTTGAAAGCAGCCTGAAAGTATTCAAAACAAGAATATATGCCCTATGTGTAGCCAAGTTTGCATTGTAAAGGATGTATTGTGGATAAAACTTACATTGGCCTGAGCACTTGTAGCATTGGTTACTGTTATTGTTTCATTAACAATACAGAAACCTTGACCTTGAGGAACTATGATGAGACTTCTGCTGAATGCTCGCATAGGTGAATGGGCAGTACCACGAGCTTCACGGAAAACTCCACAAACACAGAGTTGTATAAGTTGTGGCTGGTAAGTGAAAATTTTGGTTACACATGACATCTTACAGCAGTAAGCTCACCTTCTAATCAATCAAAGCAGCCCCATAGCAATACCAATACCAAGAGATAAAATCAACTCACAGTGTAAAGAAGTAAGTCAACGGCAAAAGAATTTGGATCATGTTGACTTGCAGGCAGACTACATAGATGCTTCATGATTTCTTCATGGCCACACATAAGCAATCGAACACGACGGTCTAAATCCATCACTTGTTTCAGATTTCGATTATTAGACTTGTATGCATGTAACCTGTCACATACAAAAAAAGATATTAAATGATGGAAGAATAGAATAGGAAATAAGCTCAGAGTGACACAATCTCAATTTCTTACATGGCTTTCTCCTTAGGTCCTTGACTGTGAGAAGATGGATAGTTACAAGACATTGAGAGCATGGCACTGGCATGGTACGCATCTCTTAAAGGCTGAAATTAATGTTTAAAAAAATATTTAAGGATTTTTTTTGGACTATCTAAACCAGCTCAATTCACAATCAGCAGGTTTCTTTCAACTACCTCTCTATTGGCACTGTCATAAAGTGCATAGTATTGTTCCAAAAACTGGCGAGCTATGTCCTTCCCCTCTTCTGCACATAAATAACTGCCTCTGGATGGAGGGATCTGTGTAGTCTCTACGTCAAATAATATTGGAGGTGGCAGATCTACACTATCCTATCAAGACAAGAGGGAAGACAAACTTGAAGGTTACAGATAGATCAAAGAGAAATGTCAAATGAAAAGAAGTTATTTATATCCTACCAATTTAAGGAGTTTAGGAAGTCTTTTTCTAACATCTGTGACATAAGCTCCTTGTTCAGCATATTTGCCACAGACAGGATTTGATGTCATGAGCAGTTCTTCGACTCCAAGCCCTTTCAGAGCATCTAGTCCAGAAATTTTCTCCAACTGGTAGGCAGCAAACAAAGAATCAATCAACTTAGTAGCACTGCGCACATTACAAATGCATGAAGGAGAGTGGCGTGACATTTTCTGTCACAGTTGAATCAGTACCTGGTTATTGGCTAAATGAAGAATCCGTAAATTGGAAAGTTTGGAGACTAGCGTTTTCACACCTTCTAGTGAATAAATCTGATTGTGAGAAAGATCTAATGCATGTAAGGAAGGGCAGTGTTCAACTACAAGTGACAGAACACATGAAAACACTGTCCTTTGATTTAGAGGCACAAATTTGCCTTCCAGCTCTGTAAATAAAGAAAATGTCATAACCAAGTGGATTTTAGAAAAGAATAGTAGTTTAATAACTTAAAAAGTACTGCACAAATCAGGGATAATCACCTGGATCACTATGAAAACGGGACAAATCAAGTGATTTAACATCTGGCCTAAATCTTTTAGCCATAACAGTTTTAATGGTCTCCTTCAACGGTTCATTTAGAACTATGTTCAGATTGTTTAGTGGTCGCACCAAAACCATAAGCTATAGGGAAAAATTCAGGTTGTTGTTACATTTTTAATGTAAAGTACAAAGTAAAAACAGTGCAAAGTTGATATTATTTAGAAAGCCAAATCAAAAACTTACTTTAAACCCATCTTCAGTTGAAATCCTTTTATCCATGTTGCTTAGTTTTGAAGCTGCTTGAAAATCATCAAGATAAAAGACAACTGTATCTTTACCCTGGGCCTCATGGTGGAACTGTATAACACATTAGGAAGGTTTTTGTTGTTTTGGTTGGCAAAGGTTTTTTTTCCTTAATTAGATGATAATAATTATATGATAAGTATATGAAAATTGATATTATCTTACTCCAATTGGTGTGAAGGTTGTAGGGACTAAACTTGCATTTAATGTGTCAATCAACCATTTCTTGTCATATCTTCCAGCATGTGGAACCTTCGAGGGCAGTAAAAGACATGCCATTGATAAACAATTAGTAGCAGATCAATGAACACAAAATCTCATCCATAATGACAATTTTCACTCACAATAATTTTGTACCAAAAAGTTGAACTGGTAGGTAAGCGTCTGAAGGAGCGATTAGGTGCAGGAGAGTGTTGTCTGCCATTTCCTCCCCGTCTTCTATTATTGTTATACTTTCTTCTTCCATCAACTGGATGACTGAAACTAATAACCAGTTTTACATGCATGGAAAAAAAAATACAGAGAGAAAAAGAGAGCCCAGCTTACAGCTCCGATATATAGCATTATTTGCCTTAATTAGAGAAAGGTATTCCTGTCATGTTATAATTAGAAGCAAGTGAAAATGAAAACAGAGACACATACACATCCAGACTTTTTATAAAATTGGTAAGACCTCAAAAACCTAACATAAAGAGATAACAAAACAACTTACTCATTTCTTGGTCCATTTCCACCCATATCATAATCACCATCATGCGTCAAGTAGTTCTGTATCTGCTTAGTCCAAGTTTTTCCATTGTTCCTACTTCTGTTGCGTGAGTTAATGCCGCCACGACTGGGATTACCACCAGTTGAAGACTTGAAGCTCACAGATCGTCCAGTACGTCCTTCAGCTCCTCGGTTGTCATGTTCTACACAAAAAGTACTTGCAAACAGTGGAGTACATATACATAACACTATGCAGAAACCAAATATCAGACACAGTGTCCAAATTCTATCAGATAAACTACATCCATAATTGTTACGAAACATTCTCCACAGTGTAAAATTTCACATTAGTTATTAAGAAGACAAACTGACACATTAAGTATTCACTAAAAACATAGCGAATTAAGGCGGAATTGCAGAAAATGGCATTAGCTAAAACGCCATAGACATAAAAGAACTATGGAAACCAAGACATAACCTTGAAAGTAACTTATTTCAAGTGGCTATAAATTTATGCCGTGATGAGAACATGAATGTAAAAGGGCAATAAAAAAGGGGTGTATACAGAATTCACAACCAAGGAAATTAACGGAGGTAAACTCTCCTAAAGGTACCCTTGCTGTTAAAATGTTTTCATGTATTGCGTCGCGACTGGAACAATATTTCACAACGTTCTCTGCGACAAAACGCGACTTTAAACAATTCGTACCGTAGTAACTTTTGGTAAACGGTCTTCCTGATCCACGATTCGACATTTTTGTGGTTCGCGTAAATTAGATTGGCCTTTTCTACGCGGAAAAAATAATAACAGAGAGAAACTTGCGTCGCACGAGTAGGCAAACGAGCAACGAGGAGAGAAGCACGGACACGGAACGGAACGAACTGAAGTGGGGAGGGGGGGGGGGGGGGGGGTCTGTTCGAGTAAGCTTTCAGCTTTCTAGCCTCGCTCCAAGGCTCGTTTTCTACGGGAAAAGGGGGAGAGGGGAGGAGGGGAGTTGAAAGGAAAGAAGAAAAGGGGAAAAGGAAAGAGAAGGGAGGGGGGAGGGGAAGGGGATGGGAGGACGGTGTGGTGGGGGTGGGGTGGAGGGGGTGGAGGTGGTGGAGGGAGTTTTACGGTGATGGTGGGGAGTGGAGCAGTGGGGCAGCAAGTGCAGCAAGAAGACTGTTGTTTTCTGTTTTGATAATAACATGTAAATCAGCCTTAAGTTTGTCAATTATGGTCAATTAAAGCTGAATTAGTTTCGAGTTTTAATGTTGTATTTTGACACCTGAGCTCAGGTAAGTTTCAAGTGAAGATCTAGGCCTAGACTGTTGCTGAAGCTTCCTTAACTTAGAAGGTCTGTTTTTTTCTCCTTCTGCACCTGATCTATACTTAGTAACAAACTTAAATTCCATGCTTTTAATGAGTGACGTGTGTCCCCACAAGCTATTATCTTGCAAAAGTTACGTTTTTTACATTAATGTTTCTTTGATCTCTCACTAAATGTTGTGTTAAGCATTGCTTAATAGTGTTCAAGTTATTGGTTGGAAGACATAACCTACTAGATGGCTCTAATTTCATTGTATAAAGTGACTTTGCAGTCGGTTGTTCTACATGCTAATATTTAGGTTCTCATATTTAAATTTATGTTTTTTTTGTTTTGTTCAAAATCAAATAATTCTTTATCTGTGTCATTGCAATATCAGGTGGCTGCAGCTGCCATGGTCGATCCCCATGTTTTGGCACGAGCTGATGAACTCTCCCTTCAAATCAATCGTTTACATGTCAGTTACCTCCAAGAAGATGAAAGTCCTCTAAAAATTGAGCAGAGAACTAAACTAGAAAGTACGTGATAACATCTACAAGATTTGATTCGAAGTAATTCTGTTTTAAATTATTCCTTAAATATTCAATTCTCATTTCAGATTTCATCAGGAAATATCTGTGCTTGATTGCACATGGTCGTAAATTTATATTTCCAGAAACTGCAGAAGTTTTACGATGCAGTGTTGCAATGAAAAACAACTTTAGTGCATATCGAGCTTCTACAGCTTGGAATGCTATTGCAAGATATGCAGCAAATTTGGTTGCACAACCATGGCGCAAAGAGTTTAAAGTAATAAAGGTAAGATTAACAAACTCTGCTAGCTTAGTAAAACTTCCTTCTCATGGCTATGAAGGAAGTATTGTCTTATTAATAATCTGGAATATTACAGACATTTTCGGGATTCTACATTCATGACATAGAGGAAAATTTGGTTGGTGCTGAACGTTTACTGGATTGTATGGGTTATAGGAGAGTTGACCACTCCTCCTTGGTGTTAGAACAACCCATCGACTTGGATAATGTCATCAATGTTTCAAGAGATGCCATTGTTGCATTTGTTGAATGTCAGGTATTGTATGAACTCTGTATTCTCATAACCCCAGGTTCCCAGTGCATTAAGTATTTATTTGATCTTTGTATTTTTCTAGGTCATGAAAGAAATATGGGAAGGAGTGTATCCTCAATTTGAATGCAGCTGGCTTGAAATTCTCAATTTCCGAGAAAGTCATATATGTTCTCCTGAAAGTGCCATCAAAAGCTTGTCTTATATTTATCACCAAAATTGCTTCCATCAGCAACAGCAACAACAAATAATGGCTCCAATTTTGCATGATGCATACTCCACTGTAAGTTTTCAATTTTGTGAAGGGAGGAAATTCTATATGCAGATGAAATCATCTTTTACTAGACCTCAGTTTTCATTTACAGGCAAATCGGATTCATCCTCATTCTCCTCAGTCGAGTTGTTTGTATGGCCAGGCTGTCTCTCCTCAAATGCCTTATTATGGTTATTCATCCTACCCATCGTGCCCTGTACCTCCTCAACCTAGATATGCTTGTGTTGTAAATCCTCCGATGATGTACCCCATGTCACCTGTAGGCTACCACCATGTTAAGTCACCAATTGCACCAGCCAATGGATACCATTACCAGCACTCAAATCAAATTTTGCCTTCAAGTTCTGCACATAATGGATATATGGTTCCTCAAACTTCAACCTTGGCATCCAGTTACAATTGTGTTGTTCCTACTGGACAGTTAATTGAATTGGATAGTAGTACGTCTGTGGGTCCATCATCACGAGTTTGTCGTCAGTCAACATCACTTGTAGATGATTTGAAGAGTCCCGAGTTAAGGAATGGTGCAGCTGGAGAGAGATCGAGCAATCTGTATTGTGAAGGGGTATTATCCAAACGGGAGTCTCCTACAACTGTTAGATCAGAGAACAAAACATCAAGACCAAATACTTTTGATGACTTAAAACCTAGAAGAAATGGAATGCACATTGAGGTTGGTGATGAATCTTGCTCCCATGCTGAAAAATTTGGAGTGGGTAAACAGCCTCAAAGACAAGGAGCAAGAAAAGCTAATGCACCCACTGCACCCATGCAGGATGGAACAGGGACATGGGAGAGTTGGGATTACGTGTACCGTAATCTTGAGAGTCAAGGATACAACAAAGATGTGGGAGAACGTGGTGATATTCTTCACAGTTCAACGTTCCCACGACGAGGCAGTGTTGGAAGTGCTGGAAGCTCTCCTAATGTAAATGGGACGGTGGCTCGCAATAGGTAATTTCTTTCTTTGCAAGTTATTTAATTATGAGAAAGGCCTAGTGATGAAGTGATATGTTTAATGTGTTTATTATTTATTATAGCCGCAATGTAAGAGACACTGAAGTTTCTGCTAACATAGAACAGTCTTCACATTTATCACATCTAAGTGATGGTATTCAAGCAATGAGATTAAATTGTGAAAATTCCACATATGGGAGGAGTGTAGATGCTGTAGACTCAAGGTTTGTTCACCTTAAAATAGGAATCTATATATATTGGTTTTATTATTACCTTCACCTCAATTTGTTTAATCTCCTACTTTTTTTTGCAGAAGTGCTGTCAGAGATAGCAAGAAAGAAAAAATTGGGACCAAAGGCTCTAGTGCAGCCCCCAAAACAGTACCAAGGGATCAGAAAAGGGAAATAAATGTCCTCTCATCGACTGTGAAGAAAAGCCATGAAAATAGGGTTGAAGATGAGGCTAGCAGTTTTTGGGAATGTTTGTTTTGCACATACCACAACAAGAATGGAACGTGTGTTTGTGATATGTGTGGAAAGTCACGACAACCGGGAAATGAAGAAAAACCACTGATAAGTGGCGGACGAGAATGCCCTAAATGCACATTAGTAAACGCTCGAGGTGTTGTGTCTTGTGAGGCATGTCATGAAAGTCTTAAAAATTCACCAACTTACATATAGAACTGAACAGAGGAAAACTGTGATTTTCCCCCTCTTTTTCATTTGAAGTTTTCTCTTTTCTTAAATATGAAAATATACTTTGAATTGTTTGTTGATGCAGCAGGAAACCTTAATTTTTGTAGTGAAAACCATTGTTGGAGCTCAATAGATCAGTAGAAACTGGAATCTTTGGATATTGAGTTTCTACACCATTTTTGTTGATAAATATAACATGTTTTTTGTACATAGGATTCTATGTTTTTTAAAGTTAGTATCTTTGGAAATTACAAATTATTTCTGTTAATGGTTTTCTGTTCATTTCAAAGTTTATCAAAAGTTACTGCTTGCTTTTTTTTTCATGCAATTTCAATTGTATTGACCAGGTTCTTGTGCCCTAACAGAAAAAGTGACAGATTATTTTTATTAGATACATAGTAAGCATATCTTGTAATTTAAAAAGATAATGTGATATAAAATTTTGATAAGCCAACTGTTCCTTAATAATTTGTTCAACCAAGAGGTTCTAGAGTACCCTGGTAAAATATCAAATTTTGCTAGAAGCTTACTGTGTTGGAAATCAATGCTGTGCAATGTATTACGTTTTCTTTCTGACTTATTTGTATAACCTAGTCAGTCTCTCTCTTTGTTTAATATAAGCGGTGTTTTTTTTTGGCGTTTTTAAACAAAGTTATTATTTTTTTCGTTCTTGTTTTGTGCTTGTATATGCCAGTATCTAATGCTTTAATTACAGTTTTAACTGGTTATTACATTGAATAACCAATTTTTTTTTTAGAATGGGCCAGCATTAACGAACGTGTAAATAGACATGTACAGTTAAAACTATTGTACACAATTGAAAAAGCAATTATTTATTTTTAGCATAAACACAAAATAGTAAGTTGTCTTTTTGTTCAATCCTAAATGTTTGTAGGTATGGTTTTATTATACTCTCAACTGTGACAACACCACTAGCTAGGATGCAAATGTTATCTATGTGTATGGTTCAAAATGTTTGTTGTACCATAGGTCGGAAGCTGTGATATGAATTTTTATTGATGTAAGTTTGGGAGACAGTTGGTAAATATTCTGAGTTTTAAAAGGTAAGGTCTCTCAACGGATCTGCAGGGTGTATAGATGTGTTCTGAAATAATGCTGCAGGCTCAATAGCAAGGGTGACTAACTGTACTTTGTGCACCTCGTTAGCCAGATCTGCTATTGCAAACAGAAGTAAATGAAGCAGGGGTGCATAGAAAACTTCATATATTGATCTAACAATTGCCATTTGTATAAAGTCATCTTCTAGTGAAAACAGCGAGCTGACTAACAATCTGTGTGTGCTCCTCACTTCCATGTACCCACCTGCCCCACCACTATGCATTATGGTGCCTTCTTTCTCATATTGTGAATCAGTTATGGCGTACTCTCATAGCTGCTAACTTTGCCAACAAAACCATGTTCTTTGTTGATTTTTTAAAGTGTATTAAAGGTACATACCGCTATCCAATACAAATGGAATTCTTTCAGCTTAACAGCTCAAGTTTTAATACTGTGTTATGACTTGAATAAATCTATGGTGTTTTGTTGTGATTACATTTTGTGTTCATTCATACCACAGTCCCAATAAGACATTCATTGTGAGTTGCTTTTATTGACACACATTAGGAGCAACAAAAAATTATATTGCAAAAAACTTATTATAATCTTAAACTAAGTTT